CTGCAAGTGATGACTAATGAGCACCATGACTTTTGACAGTCCATCTTTATAAGTGCAGTTCTACAGGTTATTGATTTCTAAGCATTCAATGAACAACTTTTAGAGAACAAATTGTCTTAGCACATTTTTCAGTCTTACTTATGAAATATATCTTACATGCTTTTGCAAGTTATAAATAGAAAAACAATATTATAGATAGAAAAACTGGACATATTTTGTTACTTGATTACATACTTTAGATATGTACACAGTAATATACAATAAATTTCTTTGAACTGGTTTTGGATAAGTTTGCATGATCAATCCTGCATAAGTGAAAAAATGAAAGAATAATACAGCAGGATTTGCTATTCCAGTAACAATGAAATTATATGACATTTTCTGATTAAAGAATTCTTTATTGGAGGACAGGGCTTTAGTAGAAGACACAAGAAATATATTCCAATTGAGTATGTAAAATACTTAAGTAATCTATAAAGTATTCTGCTTTATACAGTGATACAATTCTGCTGTTTTCTGCACCTCTATGACTATCATTTCCAGAATGGAAACCTTTTCTAAATCTAAGCCTCTATTTACTCCTGAGAAATGCACTATAGGTTTAAGTCACATGAATCCTCTCGCCTCTATTTCAAAGTATCTTTTTTTTTTTCCTTTTGAAACTTATTCAGGGTGTGGTTTTAAGTACTGATGTTTGCTATTGCTGTTTTCAAGCCTTTGCAGCTCAGGAGTGGCAGTTCTACTAATGACTTTCCCGTGTCCTAAGAAGAAAGATGCAGGTAGCTAAACCTGTATTTGGGTCCCTTTTTTCCTAGTTTTCCTTTTTTCTTTAGCTCCCAACAGCATTAGCGTTAAGCTATGAGTTTTCATTTCTGTATTCTTTATGTTATAGCTCATTTGTGTGTAAAGTCAGTGAGCAAAAATCATGCCTGTTTATAAGAATGAACTGTACAAGGTACAGGGGACAGCAGATTAGATATCTACATAATTATAGGGTATTAACTGGTCTGTCCAAAATGTATTCTGACAATAAATCTGTGTCTGTTGTGCCACACAAACCCAATACATACTTGAATAAATGTAATCTTGGACAAAAAGGTCAAAAGTCTTAGAGTTGTCCCTAAGGGACCTTTGGCTGGAGTGCTTTTCCCTTCTTACTTGTTTAAAGGGTTGTTAAATCGAGGGAAGAGTCAGTACTCTACTGGGATTTTACTGCTGTTTCACCTGTCTTTTCAAAGAAGTTAGGAGCAGGTAAGAGGTGATAGGAGAATAGCACCCTTGTTCAAATCAAAGTGCTTTTTCTAGGAAGAGAGGAGCACTGTGAAGTCAGATGTTGTATATCCCCAGAGCTAAGCTTTTATTTCTATTTACAATGTTTTAAGATCCACAAAGGCTCAAAGGCCTAATTTTCTAATCAACACTTTTGGACTCTTCTTAAAATATTTCTCTTTTGAGGACAGCATGGTATTCTTAACACTGAAAATTAGTCTGTGCAAAGTTGCTGGAGTGGATTTTTTCCCTTTTGTTTGCCTCTTTTTTTTTTTTTTTTCCTTTTCTTAAGTGAAATGCATTCCGGTTTGCCATTTTATAAAGAAACATTTGAAATTATTGGTTTTTTACAATGTTGATAATTTTTGTGAGTCTTTTAGTTTTGTCATCCTGTAGTATCACCCTTCAGTGCACTTACTATAATCTTGTGAAAGGTTTGGGTTCCTTATTTCTGTACTGTTAACTACATCATTTAAAGATAAAAAGTGTTCTAAAATTCCCACGTTATATTCAGGTTTTGCACTTACCAACTGAGAAAGATTATGGAAAAAGCCTATCTGGAGTCTGTCCTGTTCACTGATTACAGGGTTTTGAGGTATACAACCACTAAAAAGGGTTTTGAAAGGCTCAGGGAATCATCAGGTGAATTTGTGCTGGAGTTGCTGCAGAATACATTCAACAAGCTTCTCACTGCATATGTGGTTCAGGTTGCTTGCACCTAAGCAAAAACAATATATGCAAGCAGGAAGTGTTAATTTTGCTAATTTGTCACAAATACCTATACATGCCATTCATGAATTGGTAGAAAATAACAGGTGTTGGTTGGCTGAAGCTTTTTTAACTAATTCCTATTTTAACAAGCTGATGGGTGAATTTAAAGCATCAATTATGCAGGGAGAGCATTTGTTGTGAAAAAGAGGTAACTCCAGAAAAGGATAAGTAGCAGACTTTTTATCTAGTGTTTCCTAGAAAATAAATAAAATATTAAACTTATTGTCCTTGACTAAGCTTGTTACTTGCTAATTTTCAGGATAATAATTTATCCTGGGCCCTCAGGGTTTGTGTTTGAGTAGTCATTTAATGACTTGCTAAGTGACAGATATACTGATGATTTTGAAGGTAGAAAGCGTTGTTTATAAATGGCAAGAAGGAAAGAGGGCAAGATTTGTGGCAAACACTGTCTAGTCATTAAAGAATAAAATTGACTAAACTCATTTTGGCCCAATGTAATTTTACAGGACTAGCATAAATTCAGTCAGGATACTCTTTTTCTGACCCTTAAAGTGCAGCCTGGAAGAGGCAGGATTAGTACTGTATCTATTCAAACATAAAGTGACTTAGATCTAAATTTTGAATTAACAAACAATATGAACCCATTCAGAATTGCTGCTGTTGTCACTTCTGAATTCCCTTGAGGATGGGAAGATATGTTTCTGTTTAACCCTAGCAACCTCATTTATTAGACACTGATTTATTTCTTGTAAATTACTTGTCATTCTAATTCCTCAGCAATAAAACTTAAGAAGTCTGCGTAGGGCTACAATCAAACTGAGGCAAAAAAAAAAAAAAAAATAGAAAGAGAAAAGTTGAAATAGCTATCCACTACCCATACCAATGAGTTTAGCTCCATCATTACAATTTTATGTGAAAGTATTTGTTGATCATCCAGAGATAGGAAAATAAACTTGGATTTCTTGTCAACATGGTTGGCAGTCCATGTTGAATCAGAACACACAAACTCATTATGTCACTCACAGAAAGAATACGTTTGTTTTATCCTTTAGGAGGAGTTTGCAAGAGGTAGCTAGCATAAACTACTTGACTGTGTAACAAGACTGAATATAACAGAATTAAGGAAATGTGTCTTTCTAAATCACCAATTCATAGCTGTTTCTGTTGAGGAATTATGTTTAATAAAATTTTGCCAGTTCAATTTCCTATAAATAAGCTCACACATATTGTAACCTTACCAGCATACAGATGGCAATATTGATTAATTTAAACCAGAGGATGATTTCTCAGGATCCAAATTAATGCTGCACAGGTGAAGTTACTGTGGGTAGTAATTTTAAAAGGTAACTCATTCTATTAAGTTAGTACCTGTATACAGCACAGTACAGATGGCAGAGTGAGGTACAAAGGTAACTGAGTTGGTTCTCTGTTAAATTATCTGCAGGCCTCCTTCAATTATGCAGGCTTCCAACTGCTTTAAAAGAATGCTGTGAAGCCTAGCAATTACTGCGACAGAAAGATGGACCAGCCTCTCCTCCTTTCCCCTGCAGACCCTTGTGAAATGACTGTAGGAAAGTATGCGGAATACGTTTGAACAAAAACTAATTCAAAAGTAAATCACTAGTATATGTTAAAAGGAAATATTATTTTTCTGAAGTATATTATAATCTATGGAGGGCCAATAAAAATACCAAAGTATTTTTCTTTTTTTTTAAGAGAACTGTATTTCATTTTAATAACTGATTTTTTAAATTAATATCTTTGTGCACTATTCATTTTATTTCAGCACCAGGAGTGCAGACTATGTTATTTTGCAAGTCTATTAATATCATTCTTAGAATATAGTACCAACCAAGTTCAAAACTTATATAATGAAACTGTTGTATTATTATTGCAAATTATCAAATTACTTATTTACTCCTTAGTATTTATCTTTCAATAGAACATGTATAAAATGAGATTAGTTTGAATTAATTGATAATTGTTTGATATGCTGGACTAACATATGTTCTCTGATGCTATTCTATTGATTATGTAAGCTACTTTGCATATATGTAGTTGAAGTAAAAACATAATCAGCTTCATCTATGAAAACTTTATTTTCAGCACCACAAGACATAAAATCTTGTAGCTTTCATCTGAAAAAATCTCATTACATCCTTGTCATGAAGAGGATATCGTCTGTATCATGAATTATTTGGAAGCACTAGCATTAGTTTCCTCAAGCGCTAGTACTTGCTGGCACATTTTCTGATTTTCAGTGAAGATCTGAACCAGAAATACTGAACAGATTGAATCTGAACTAGGAATATATGGCACTATATATTGAAAAAATATTTGCATTTTTCTTATATTTCTTTTTTTTTTATTATTATTTTTTCCTGATATTTTGATTGTAGACATCATCATCTTTGTAGTTAAATTCACTTTGTATTCATGAGCTCTTTGGCTCATGAAAAGTAGGCATGCAATTTATCATTGTGGAAATATTCTCAATTCACTACAAATTAAGTCAATTAGATTTTATTTTTTTCTCTCACAGGTGGTATAAAATGAATGGGAATTTGAAGAAGTGAACTAGAGTAGGCACTTTAGAATCAGCAGGAAGATAGGATTGCTTTTTTTGTTATTTCTATGTTAGTGTTTTAATATTAATATTTAAGAAAAATAGTTTAATTCTGTAAAATAATTTTGCTCTAAAATGCTAAAAAAATTAGAGCAGAATCATAGTTTCATAAAGAAATCATTGCTATACTATTAACATTAACATGAATAGCCTGAATTTCTATTTGTTGTTTATATTTCTATTTTTAATAACTTTATCAAAGAAGAAAGAAATGGATTACTTCCATGTCTCTAAAAAAAAATATTTCCATGTTAAAAGACTTACAACTTTAGTTGTCCCTCCCAATGCAGTAAGATTTCTCCATCTTGTACTTCTCGTGATGAGAACTGGGAAGGATGCAGTGATTTCTTATATCCAATTCTAAAAGCCTGTGATGAAGTTTAGACAACTGGTCACATCTTACCAATGCGGAGTTTCTCTTGTGGTTTACAGACTGTCAGGAGCCAGCCTACCACCCCACTGTGACATGGATTCCTGTACCTCTGAGGAATTCTACCAGGCTGTTCACCACGCGGAGCAAACCTTTAGAAAGATGGAGAGCTACCTGAAGCAACAGCAGCTCTGTGACGTTATCCTGATTGCTGGGAATCGCAAGATCCCTGCACATAGGTAGGACAGAAGCATAAGATATTGAAACTACAAAAGGAAATGTTTGGGGTATGCTTATTTCTTAGAAGAGTGTTTTCTGTGTCCCTTTATGCCTGCCTCCATTTTGCTTTAAACGTCACAAATGTGAGTATCTGCAGAAGGTGATATTTGAAGATTGCGCCTTTGAAGGTATTTTTTTTTGTACAGGTTTCAAAAGTTCAAGTAGCACTCAAGTAGCAAACTTTTCATCGTGAGGATGCCAAACTTTACTCCCTGCTGTGATGCTGTTCATATGTGAGGAGAATGGAAATTTCTGAAATGAGATGCTGTGCAGCTACACAGCATCTTTTTTAGCTTAAAATCATGATATTCTGATGTCTGTCATACAGACTCTCCCAGACCCTTACACTGGAATAATGAACACTGACTTCTCACAAACTGTTTCTTTGAATGAATTGAAAAATATCGTAATTACTTTTAATTATATTTTAAGTATAAAAGTTATAATGACATTATAACTTTTAAAATTCTCTAAGATTATCTGGTATCAAAGCAGCCGCTATATATAAAACCATGCATGGGTTTGGATTGTAATTATAGCTTAAAATAGTTATTCATTGAGATTTGGGTCTTAGCTATCATATTTTATATAGTGCATGCAAATACAAATCCAGTCCTAGGGTTTAGAATAAAATTTTGAGTTTCCAGGTTAGCAAGTCTTTCTCTGTTCAAACTTACATAAGGCTGGAAACTAAGGGTGACCTATTCCCTGCTTGTGCCCTGGTTCCTCTACTGAGGTACTAAATCCAGAACAAGCAGAAAAGCCAAAAAACAGTCAATGTATTTCTGAATTCATAAATTAACTTCCTGGCACAGAGGACTGCTATAAGGTCATCTTAGCAATTTGGACCTTACAAAGTTTCTTCTGCCCTAAGTAAAGATGGACACAGAGACTGTTCTGTTTCACATAAAAGTTGGATTTTCTATATTCCAACTTCCATAATAATAATTTAAAAAGGTGCAATATGCAAGACTGCAAAGCCAAAGCTATTGTTCAAATGCAAATAGTAAAACCAGAGAGGAAGCGTCATTAAAATATTTAAATTTTCCCAATAATTATAATTAGTAAAAAAATAACTCCAGTTAACAATCAGTAACAGTCATACCAATCGAGGTACTTTGCAGCATATGTGAAGCACAGTCCGCTTCGTGTCAGATTTGTACCCGTAATAAGCATAGAAGTCTTTTTTAACTTCTTCCAGCATTTTTCATTCATAAGACTTTGTTTCTACTCTCCTGTCTTCCAAGAGCTGCCATTTTTAATGTTCCTCCCTTGCCTTGATACACTTGGATTCCCATATGCCAATGAAGGGCCCGGCAATTTCTACCCACTGACTTAGCAACTGACACAACTTCTGTGTTTCAGGCTTATTGCCACTGTTAAATGTATTATGTATCTGACACTTTATACACCCCTTGTAGTTGTGGTCTGATGCCATTTTTATCTAAATCACCAAGTTCTTTCCTTTATGGATAAGTACAGAGGGAATAATATTAAGCATCAGTTCCTTACAGTGTTCCAGAGCTGCAAGATTTACCTTAAGGTGTCTTCCATCAAAAAGAAAACTGGAGGGATAATAACCTAAGGCCTTCTAATTTTTGTCCAATTTTACATCCCTATATATTACTGAAATCAAATAAAAAGAATTTTTCAGAAATAGTGAGAATTTTGTTCTTCTTTCTTGACAGTTACTTGGCCTGGTTTTGCTTTTCACATTTTTCAACACAGATGAGATTAAACACCACCCTCCCCCCCCCAACAATCTCTGAATCTACATGCCTAAACTACCATATTTATTAGATACACAAAATTATTGCACACTTGGTATCATTGCCCTGTTTAATATGGATGATATATAATACACCACTACATTTTTTACTAGTATATTTTTTCCCGTATTGAATATTTTGGTAAACTTCATAGTTCATAGAGAAGGAGACAGAGGAAAGTGTAAGGTTTTTTTATTAGTTCATTCCCCCCATTATTTTTAAGACCGCTGTTCTTATTTGTATGCCCACCTTCAGTAGTAAATTTAATTTCACATTTGTCATTTCAATTCTACAGCATATCTAAATCCTTCTGGAGCAGGAAAAATACCTTAATAAGAAGATTAACCATGAAATAATACCCAAAATCTTATTTAAATTTTCTAATAAACCTCCAGACAACTTTACATTTGAGTTTCTACTTCTCTGTTGTCTGTAGTCAAAAGACCAAATCTCAAAGAACTGGCAAAAACGGCTGAAGAATTGAAAAGATTGTGTTCTGAATAAACTAGAATTTTGTCCAATAAGATAAAATGAAGGGTGCTGTGAATTTTATGGGGCTTTTTTATAGTGTTTGCTCTATGTTGTTTCAGACATGTGTAACTGGACCAGCACAATTCTAGAGTATGATTTAATTTAGAAGAAACCTTCTAGGACCTGCTCAAAGAAGGGTCACGCCCAAGGTTAGATATGCTGTTGAGGGTCATACCCATTTAGTTTTTAAATATCGTCACTTGTTGAGGTTCCTCTATTGGCAGCCTATTTTTGATTATTCTCACTGTCTTTAGCGATCCAGAGTGTGACTTCTATTAATTTTTTTTCCTCATGGCAAACCTGTCTAAATTTACCCACATCTTGAGGAGGAGGATATGGAAATTGACTTTTCCAGTCTTCAGAAATGTCCTTCAAATTATCATGACCTGGTAAAGATAAGAAAGAGTGGCCTTTCAATAATATTGTTGAGCTCCCTCAGCCATTGCTCCTTGAACACATCCTCTCTGGACTCCTCTAAGTCCAGTTCACTTTACTCTAAGCCCATCTTCCTCTACTGTGAGTGATATCACACAGAGCCTGCCACTAGGCACCTGGGAGGCCTGAAAGCAGACTATGCCAAAGAAGAAAAAAAAGACTGAGTCAAAGAAAGTTTTATTGAGCAGTGGACAAAAATTTTGCATAGTCTTCCTTTTGCTGCCAAGGTGATTACATAAACCCTTCTTTCCCATCTTATTATGCTGCTTTTCACTGTTAGGGTACCTCGAACAGCTTTAAAGTTATAATGTGCTTAAGCTTTTTGTTGGCTCCTGAACATCATGTTTGTGTAATCTAATCTTCCACTAAACGGGTTACAGGTATAAACTTTCAAATGAAGGAATAGCAAAAGGAAGTACAAACCAAGTGAGTATTGTAATGATGAACAAGCAACCACAAAGGGTACTGAGAAAGTAGGAAGACCTCTGTAGTAGGCTTTCAGATTAGTAAGTAGCTGACATTTAAATAACTTTGAAAAATCAAGTAAACCTCAGTTTTTTTGTTATTGTGCTGTAACATGTATAGATAACTGTCCAGTTTTCAGGACAATCAAGTGCAAAAATGTAGAATACCTTAAAGAGAGAAAAATGCAAAAGTAGTAATTTCCCTTCCTTTAAGATAAGGTGCTGCATTGTTGACAGTCCATCCTAATTTTAAAATATTATGAACTTGGAGTTTGTAGTTTCTTCACTCACTCTGGAGATGCTATATATTTTTTTTCTCATTTTCTGTACCTCGTTTTGAATATAACCTCTTTAAGACAAGAAACTTATTGTAACTTTGAAGTGCCTGGAACAGAAGGAACTCAGGCATTGCTGTTACAAAACAAACAAATGAATAAAACCAACACTGTAATTGACAATTCCATTTTCTGTCCAGGTTACAATCAGCCAAATGCAGTTATATCTGGGAATGTAACTAGACTGCAGCTAGTAAATGTCATCTGAAACACAAAAACACTGGGAAGTAAATGTTATTCAGAACTATAGTGACATGATCAAAGCACCAATTATTTCCAAGGTAAAAGAAAACTCTTAATAAAGCAATAGTCCCATGGGTCAACATGAAATCAAAAATATGTATTTGCCACAACTAATTTGGTTGTTTTAAGTAAAAGGAGCTCTATTGAATTGCATTGTTTTTAAATACTATACTTGAAATACTATATTACACAGCTGCTGAATAAACATCAATTATGATGCAAAGAAAATGACCAAAGTCAATGCAAACGATAGATAGATCTTTAAGATTTACATTGGAGTGTTCATTAAAACCTCCAGCCAGGATTGCGTAACTGTTACAGGCAACCCCAAACTCAGACAGAGATTAAAACAGAACTAATTTTCTGTTCAGCAATTTTACTTTTTTAGCTGGGCCTCTTCTAACTAACTAAACTCTGAAATTAACAGCATATTGTTCAGAAACTGTTCACTCTTACAGTGACAAGACCTGATTATACCAAAGAATGTTATGCAGAGAGGCCCCTGCTTATATTTATTGCTATAGCAACCAAGGTCAGGTAAATTTGTTATTTGCCCCATTGGAGGGTTGGAAGCAGAAAAGCGTAGAGGGGTCACACCTGTAGGGAGGAGCGGACAGGACAGGTGACCCAAAACTGACCAACAGGGTATTCCCTGTTGTTCCATTGTGCTCAGTATAAAAGCTAAGGGATCAAAGGGTCAACTCTCTTCCTTCAATGGCCAGTGTCTGAGGAGGACCCTGTCTGTTTGTCTGTCTTTGATCCCGATTCTAGCATTCCTGAATCCAGATCCAGAATCCAGCTCCTGTCCATCACCGAGTCCAGCCTGGGACTTTCCCCTGCACCTGCTGGTGGTGGGATCATCATCCTGGGAGCTTGATACCGATTTGTATATACTGTATACACGTTTTTTTATATATATTTCTTTATTTTTTCTTTTCTTCTTCTTATTTCATTATTTATTTGTATTTTCATTAAAGTAGTTTAGTTTCTTTCTAAACTCATAATTTTTTTTTCCCCTCTTCCTCTCCTCTCTTTTCCTTGGCAGGGGAGGGAGGGGCCATCTGTCGTTCTGGTTGGTCAATTCAGTCAAAACCACAATAAGCCATAAATTAGATTTACTAGGAATAGTGCACAAAGCAATACAGAATCTCAATATAGGAGAAAAAAATAAAATAAAGAAAGT